AGTGAACTAGCTTCCTCGTACTGGGATACGAGGATAAGGATTGGCAAATCATAAAATGATTATGCAGGTTGTGGGGAATATTGAAAGCTGTCTTCGGATTTAATCTGATCATAGAATGGTGCAGTGATGGGTTTCAAATATTTTTAGAACCTATTCTGTGGGTGTGGCCTATTTTGTGGGTGTGGCTTGGCAGTCATGTGACCGGGTGGGTATGGACAACTTGACATCACTCATGCACACTCAGTCACATGACCCCCCCCCCCCCAAGCCATGTGGCAAAAAATTTTGGGACTCCTGTGAAGGGGGTGGGAAGAGAGTGGAAAACCTTCCAAAAATAGACAACTAGAGGATTAAGGGACGAAATTAGGGAGATCTGAGAAGGCAGGTCAGAGGGGAATCCAGTAGAAAGCTATCACATGCTGTGAAAAAAACTTTGGGTGATCAGAGGAGACAGGACAGAAGGGAATCCAGTAGAAAGCTATCACCCATTGGGGAAAGAACTTTGGGAGATCGGAGGAGGCAGGACAGAGAGGAATCCAGGAGAAAACTCCTGAGCTTGCTGCTGCTGTCTGGTGAATTGTGCCCTCTCCATGCTTCTCCGTTCACCACCTCCACTCCCAGGTATGGGATTTGACACCGAATTGGGCTAGGATAGTGCGGATGGGTGGGGGTAGCAAGCGATGGAGCTGCATCCGGATGGGCGGGGGTGAGTGAGCGAGTGACAGGGCCGTGGCAGGCATTCTGGAAGTTACTTTCAGGTCAACCGGTCGAAACTCCTCTCACCGGATCTGTAAATTTCACCATCCGGTTCTCCCGAGCCAGTGCAAACCGGCAGAAACCCACCACTGGAATGGTGGTACCTGTCAGTTCAAGAACTAGGGATCTTTATTTCTATAATAATCCATCTTTTATTAAATATATACACATTGACAAATGTGAGATTCTCACACTAACCACAACTGGACAATACAAGTTCTTTTAGAAGCATAGGACTAAAAAGCATTCAGTCACAGGTATCACTAAACTGCAGCATTGCAACACGAGTTTCATCATTAAAGGACACAGAGATAGAAGAGATAGAACTTTTGGTTGAGTGGGTTTGAAATGAAGGCATGACTCTGAGCCCTTTTCCTGCCCTCAATAGTTATTTCTTTGCCTCCTGGTATATTTTGGAGGGGAATCAGCTCTAAATTCCCTGTTGGTTGCCTATTGTCGATTGGTCTGAGCAGCAGGTATATTTACAGATATGGCTGTTTTAACTGGCCAATTCTCAGTATACTTTACAAAGGTTTCATTTTATAGTTCAATCAAATCTCAGTCCATTGACAAGATTGCCCCT